ATTATGCATGCGTTACGTTAATGTTGACGCACCTCAGTTCTGGTCAATTTACGGCAATATAAACAAGCGATTCATTATGCACAGTAATGGGAATACATGAAGAAAGTGGTAAAGGTAGGAATTAAGAAACTTGTCGTAGTGTGAATAAGCGAACTGGTTAGTAGAGCTGTTGATGAATGAGGGCAATTTAATTTCAATTTTTCACCACTGACAATCTGTTGCTCAAACTAAGGGTCAAAGTATTTCTGGTTTGGAATGTACTTAGTCTAGTTCGGACAGAAATTAATTTTTTCAACCTCCTGCTGACCATTACAAGTTAGAAATATGCCAACTCAGTGGAACAACAAGAGTGTCTTGAGGAAATAATGCAGTGCAATGACTGGCAGTGTTGAGACAGTTGTAGTGAATATTAGTTTTTTCTCTGTGTATAAAATTCATCGCATAATGAATGCATAATTTTCACATATTTTTTCTAGGGTATAAATTTACACTCCATAACGTGTTGTTAACAAAAACGTCGATGTTTGAAGGTCTTACTAATCATCCGTTGTAACTATGCTGCTAATTAAACAGTAACTTGTTTGTGCTGTATTTCAAAGCTCAAGTGTTTTTACATCACAAAAACTAAAAAAAGGAAGCCCGAAAGTTGGCCTCTTCAAAGAATTTTCAGATTAGTATATATTTCTAAATGAGCATTCGCCATAACATTCATGACTCATTTAATTCAAGAAGAAACACAATCGACCCAATACTTGACTTTTTTTTAGGATTCCAGTTACCTTTATTCGCCCTCTGGCAACTTGCTTGATATTTCTGAAAAGATTTACTTTATAATACATAGTAAAATAATTATAAAATTAAATTCAATAAAAATCATTTTTAACAGTCTAATAACCAACAAGAAAAAACTTCCTTCCTCCTGAAATATTTTGTTGAAACTTCTCCTTTGTTTTCCTAAGCCCGCCAAATTAAATTAGCCCGAAATTTTCACTCATTTGCTCTATATTCTGCTGAATAAGCACAATTATGATTACATTTAGCCCCGTTTCATTATGACGGACTTTTGCTCTATGTTTGTACGCGTGCTGAACGTAAACGACCCTAGAATAGCTCATAACTGCCCTCCGGTGGCCATAACCATAAACGTTGGAATAAAAGCTCCAGACTATCCTTTTATTCCATTATCACGGCAGTCGGTCTTAACTTGGGAAAATATTGACAGTTATCTTTCGATGTGAAAATAGAGCAAGTCGTCGCGTCCTAGCATTGTGGCACTTTTATAGGGCGTTTGATAAAAACTGATTTACGGGGTCGTAAAGGACGATTCTTGGAATATGACCTGACAGGATGCGTGCTACGTTTTTTTATTACTTCTATTTCATTTTAATTAAATTCTTGAGCGGGTTTTCTTTATCAGGCTGGAGGCATTAAGGGGCCGAAATATGGGAGGGTAGATTATTTTTATAACTTGGGTTTTTATTGGCGCGGTACGTGTGTTATCAAAGATAATAAACCGGGAAGTTGTAAGCTAATGGTGGAATAACAAATGTAAGGCAGTTCATTAAAGCCAACTCGTGATGTTTCAATGAGGATTCACACTGCGAAACGGGTATCTTCATAAACGTAAATAATTGATTAAAGTCGCGTTTCCAAGATTTCCAGTTTATCTGAGAACGGTAGAAACCAAATATGTTGACGCAGCACGCCACTAAGAGTTCGCATTTATTTATAAATGATCTAACAGTATCCAGTTTGATGTTTCATGAATCCAGAAATGGTAATCAAGGATAATTACCAAGAATTATAACAACTCTTTTGCGGTAAACTAAACGATTTTAAAGGATTACCGCACTGGAGATCTTTGCCGTAAGTACACCTTGTTAAATCTCAGAAGGATCCAATCATAACCAACGGAATTTACGTATCTCTACCATAATAAGCCTTTAACTGCAATTTGAAATTAACATCCTGCTTTAATAAATTGAAGGAATTGAAATCTCTACTGGAAGACTCCACGACTCGTAATAGCCCATAAATTACCATTGTCAGATGATATGGTAATAGCTCTTGACTTCCTCTAAAAAAAAAAAGAAAAAACGTTTAAGGAAGACTAAAGAAGCGTAACCGTGGCTTAATATATTGCACCTCGGATGCAATTCCTTGACGGATTAATTGCCAACCTTACGTTTACGCTTTAATTGCAATGTCTTTAAATGCGTATCGAAGCTCAAAATAGTGGTTTGGAGCGTAAATTATTGCCTGTCATTTGCCCTGTAGGGCTTTTAGATATACTTGAAGTAACAAGGCCGTAGTTGTGTTGTAAACGTTTACTTTACTGCTATTTCCGGTTGGGAATTGATAAGTTTAATTCAGGTCATGAACCGATTAAAAACGTATATTTTATCTCGACCTCAAAATGAAACTAAGTAGTAAATAATGCTCATTCTAGTAAATTCTCTATTGAACAAACTAAGGTAGAACCTTCATTCGCCACTGCATACACTCATTTTCGTTCCGCGTAATTTTTATTATTAAGGTTTGCGTCTACCCTCGTGATAATTTAATGTGAGCGATCTGATTTAAAGGTGGTTTATGATTTTTTCGTGCTTTATAGAAATCAGTTCCTCATTCATGCCTTTAAACAAGTATAATCATTATATGAAACTTTAAAAAAGTATATTGTATATAAAAATATATTTTTCAAAATACCCCCGGAACAGAACACAAATGATACGCCATTGATCAAAACCTAAGTGACATATTGTGATGACTCAACATGTTCTTCTTATAATATTTTCACTCAATCCCTGTCACTCAGAATGCACATCGATTATTTGTAAATATACTATATTTACATACTCACACAACCAACACTCATTGTGTAGTTTAGTTATATCATAAATATGTAATTTGAAAACGGGTGTTTTAACCACTGTTAATTTTAAATCCCACCTTCCAGTTTATCTGTAAAGAACTTTTGGCAAAAGAAGGAGTAAACCAAGACTTCAACTCTGTATTAAAAAACAAATGGAAAAAACTATTTAAAAATAACGATGTGACGAAAAATCTGCTCGTGATATCATTAACGTATTTAAGACGTAAAATTCATGAGAATTTACAGTGCAACTAAAGCTGTTTTTTTTTGGGTATCCGAATATAAGTAGAAGAAATCAATATCTGCCTCTATCACGTGCAACACGGAAATACTAATTTTACATCTTAATAACGACTCAAATGTAATATCTAATTATTACTAGAATCACCGAACTGATGCAATATTAAAACCGGGTAATCCCCGGTTGACCAACGAGTCTAGCATCACCATTGGCTAGGCAGCATGTGACTCGAATCCTCAGCAAATTCAATTAGGCTCAGTAGATTCAAAGTTTCATGTACTTTCACGTAATTTATGAGTTCATGTTTTCAAAATTTTATAAATGAAACCTTGTTGGTTGGTGTCATATTTATCGGAGCACTCACTCGCCTCTAACTGAGCTGGTGACAGAGTTCCTAGCGTAGAGATTTTCAGTATTATTCTTATTACAGAGATATTTTTATCTTATAAAAAGATTTAGTTTTTGTATCTTTAAAAGTCCGTTCATTTTATAATGATATTCTGACTCTTTTGTTATACCTACTAGACCGTGTTTAGTGATCACATTAAGCTTGAATTTAGATAGCACATTATTATATGGACAATTTTTTTCTAGACAGACTTCATTTTTCTTAAATTATAGATACTTGCAGAACTTTCTTTCAACACTTTCACGCAATGAGAAATTGACATTATAAAACTTAATAAGGAGATCGAACACACCCAGGTTCAAGAGCCGACCTAACATAGGCATGGTAAAGAACATTTAAATAGCCTATATTAACAAATTCTTTTGTGTTTATTATAATAAATTGTAACATATTTGTGGACCTTTTATAAATGTAAGAAAGGGTGGTATAAAACTTGGAGAGAACTCCATAATCATACGTAGATCTTCGACAATTTTTTTCTGTAAAAGAATATGACATTCCTGCTAACTTAAGATCACCTGCAAACAACATCAAGACTAAGTTGTGATACAAATATGTACATCATTAAAGAAAGTTAAAAATAATAAGGGCAAAGATTAGGTCCTCGTCACAATCTTGACAGGCAGCCATAAATTTTTCAATTTTTATATAAGTATTTTTTGAATAACTCCTCGGAATGTAATTTACTATTATTGATGATCTACAATTTTTTAACATTTATTAATGGAAATCAACAAAATGTTAATTCCAGCTCAGCAATTCCAATCGATTTGTTCAGTACTATAATTATTCCATATATCAAATGTCAAATAATGAAAGACCATATATTTTACGCTAGGAATCGTTTCCGTTTAAAGAAAAACTACCTTTTGTAGTTTCAACAGTTAATAAAATATGGAAAATCATATTTGAGTAATTAAATTTTTAATAATTTAAAAGAAGGTTTGTTATTTCAGCTTAAATCGACATTAGCTTATCCCCGCAGCAAATACACTACATTAAGCAGGAAATTAATTCAGATGAAAATTCTCAGAAATAAGTTCTAAGTACCTGCTTAAAGTTTCCCCGCACCAATCCCGACTTCCCAGCCCCTTGGCATAAATTCACTTACTGAAAACACAAGCCATCAAGCCGAGGTGTAAAACTAACATAACGCAATTCCGCTTAGCCGTTTACATGGAAAAACCTCCCCGATTCCAGCCCCCGCCTTTTTTACGAGCCACCAGAGTGCCCTAATTTTCGCGGACCCAACCGTCCGTCTCCACCTACCACACCTGTTGGGTGCAGTGGCCCATGGAACCCGCGTTCCCTTTCTCTTCCCTTGCGATTTCCATGTGTTCGTTGTTCGTCCGGGCGACTCTTCTACCTGTTGCTCGCTTCCGACTCACACCTGAGGACGCTCTTGACAGGTGGCCCTCATTACTGCTATTCGACGTGGTATTATGAGAATCTAAGCAATATTTGGTCTTTTTCAGGTGCACTTATACTTCAGCGCCCTGCCTGAAGACAAAGTGCCGTATGTGAACTCCGTGGGAGAGAGGTACAGGGTGAGGCAACTCCTACAGCAGTTGCCGCCACACGACAACGAAGTGCGCTATTGTCACGCCCTCAGCGATGAAGAGAGGAAGGAGTTGAGGCTATTTTCCGCACAAAGGAAGAGGGAGGCGTTGGGAAGGGGGGCCGTGAGGCAGCTGCCGGCTCCCATGCAATGCGATGCGGTAAGTGGAGGAGTTATCGCGGTGATTTTATACATGGCTTCAAGAAATTAACCCACTCCTTTTTTTGATATAAAATTGAAATCTTATATTTGCATCTAAAAGAATCGTGTAAAAATATTTGTGATTACCGATTACTACACATAAAAATTTTTATTCTCTGTTACTTTCTAAGTCTAAGCTACAACATACACAAGCATTATAAAGAGAAATTTAAAGAGCTGATCATAGAAGCAAAGTGTGAATGAAGTAGGGACGAATAAGTTATTTAGTTATAGAAACAGACAGGTTATCTTTTTAAGTCAAAAAAACTAAGAACAACAAAAGAAAATCCATGGTGTTTGAGTTGGCCCAGAAATTATAATAAAATATCTTACTGATGAATGCATGGCATGTCTTAAACATCTATCTGCTGGCCTTTTTTAAATACACAATATCGCAGAGATCTTCGTGAGTTTCTAAAAAGAATTTCAGACGTTCAGTTCACCATTTCATATTTTTAATTATATCTACTATTTATCATGTCATTTTAATAGCTAATTCAAATTTCGGTTTAGTTTTTACTTCCTGAGAGTAAGCCAAGGAAGTACTGTAATCGGGCGACTGCCTACTTTCATGTTTTTTCGACATTTTATAACCCGTAAAGTACGAAAAAATATCTCCCGTTTCAGTTTGTGTGTCTATCGTCTGTATCGATTTTTGTTAGACAGATAATCTCCGATTTTTAAATGAAAGATCTTTGAAGCGACACATAAATGCTATATCGTTTCAGTTAATACATATTTTTATTTTAATTTTAATTTATGGAATAAATTAGTTATTTGTATATCAAGGCCATAAAGAAAAACAGACTGTTTCGGCCAATCTGAAGGTCACGGCCGAGACCTACAAATCAAATGAGGCCGAAAAAGTTCTTTTTCGCCTAGACACACACAACATTTTTTAAGCGACCGTACAGTTTTCTGTATTATTTTTATAATTGGTTATGTGAGGGGTTTTGAGGTTAGAAAATCTTTGTTTCTTGTTGGAGGAAAAGTCCTGCAGATTTAATTTAATAAAACCAAAATGCTACTTTGCCCCTTCACTAAGGAAAAAATTAGTACTATCATGTGTCATACCGATATTCAATAAAGGTGGAGTTCAAATAACAGGGCTTTTGCCTTTTTTATTTAAAAAAATATTAGTCAAAAACACAAGACCAAGGACGCATTCGAGATCTGAGTACATAGAGGTACAAGTCATTCCAAAAAAGTGATACTTCATGGACGTGATAGGCGACGTAAAACGACTAGATTTGTAATCGTCGCCTAAAATAGTTATTTGTGTATCAAGATCATAAAGAAAAACTTTTTCGGCCGATCTAAAGTTTAAGGCTGAGGCATAGGCGAGGCCTTCAGATCAGATGAAGCCGAAAGAGTTCTCTTTGGCCGAAATACACACACCATTTTTAGCCGACCACACAGAAAAATAATTGGTTATGTAAATAGTTTTGAGGTTAAAAAATCTTTCTTCGTTACTGAAGGAAAATCCTTGTAGATTTGAAAAAAACCAAAGTGGTTGCTCTTCTACTGAAAAAAGTAAAGTTGGTACTGTTATGTTTTATAGCCATACTTAATAAAGGTGCAGTTAAAATAAAAACGCTTTTAACTTTTTTTTTTGAAAAATATTGGACAAAAACACAAAGCCGAAGACGCAAAAGTAAATTTTCGACATCTGACTATAAAAAAGTGACAAGTGAGTCAAAAAAAAATAATTTTGAGATTTTAGTACGAAAGAGTGACAATTCATGGGTGCGATTGGGACGTAAATAAAACGACTAGATTTGTAATGGTGGTCTGAAAGAAAACCTAAAATTCAAAAATTCTCGAAATTCAAAAAAATTCTTATTGGCTGAAAATTTTAAAACTAACTATACAACAAAAGTAACATTAATAAACATGGCCATTACTGTAAAAACGTTATAAAGAATTTTGAAATACGATAAGATTATAAATAACGAAAAAATATAATCACTATTAAATGAAAATTTAAAAAACGTATCCACTTGTCCTTTAGGTTTCAATATTAAAATACAATTCTAACTCCAATAAATACAAAATGACTATTACGTGATAAATTATAAAATGTAGGTCGCTGAGGTTTTAGCTGTCTTTCGCATTCCCTGTCGTGAGTATCGCACGATAAAAAAGACAACTGCGGCTAACGAATTGGCAACAGCACGGCGAAATCTCGTGTACAAAAAGGAGAATTAGAACGTAGATCGATCTGGTTGTCATATACAGTTTTATTATATCAGCATAGAAAATGAGTGACCGAAAATAAGAGTTTTCTGGTACTGGTATTAGGGACTATGACCAGTAATTTTGTGGGATGTAATTCTTTTTTGTGTCGTTGTTAAATAATATATGTATATATGAACAATAGGGCACTTGGATTGTTTTTGATCCAGTTTGAGTAATCTATTACCACATGCTGTTGATATTTTTTATATTTTTTAAATTATTAACTTCACTGAGAGAATAGTGACAATCACTTAGAAAAATTGCTGTCCAAACAGTGAAATAACAATTTTTACAACACTTATTAAAATTGTTGACAAGCTGTTCATCATCATTTTACTAATTGGCTTCACAAACTTAACGAGACGTTTTTTTTGACTTTCATGTGTGTAAATAAGTTAACTGTTACGTGAATGCTATTCTTAGGTGCTTTCTCCTTCTTTGTGCTAGTGACTCAAAGGCGAATAGTCTTGCATTGTTAGACGTAACAACAACCATTGTGGGCTTACTATATGGTCAAATTAACCCACTAATTGAAACTGGGTATGCAAAAATCTAAATGTTAAAATTTTTGCATTCTGCTGAAATATCGATGAGGAATACTCTTGGAGTACTAGACTAGAAAACTAGAAACACTGGTTACAATTTCAACAATGAAGAAGTTAATTTAATTGCGGGGACCAACAAGCGACTCGAATTACATTGCCAACGTAATTAACTTCTAATGACAATTTCTTCTTAGGGTTCCATTTTTCTTGGACAAAACACTATTTTTGCTGCAGTTTACTGAAAAGGAATCAAACTGTGGTTGTTCATAAACCGTGTACGTTGGTATATTTTTAATAAACCTAAAATAGAATGTTCGTCAAAGGATTATATTGGAATATATAAATAACGTAGGAATTTTAACAACGCATTTCCATACAAAAACTCCAGATTGTTTCAGTCACACTCCATGCACCTATCAAAAACAAATCGAAAGAATTGAAAACAAATGATAATTTTCATTAAGAGATAGCAAGATCAAATATTCTAAAAACAACTTGAAGATATCAGACGGTTTCAGGCAATAATTAAAGAAAATGTGCGTTAATTTTTTAGAGTAGTATATTTTAGTTTATGAAGATATCATACAAACATGGTCTGGAGTCATGAATGATGAAAAAAAGAAGCATTATAATTTCATGAATTCCATTCTCACACTTTGATTACGTCTAATTATTACTTCTTCGTTGTTGCCTGTTATTTGAGGCGGATTCTTCAAAGCTATAATTGATAGTTGTACGTTAAGGTGGGAAATTTGAATAAGTGGATCAGTACACAATGTATGGCAGTTGTAAAGCTGTAGATCTATATTAATAATTTTGTGTCGTTATCGCACCCTGCTGTAGATATCGACTGATTGCTTAAACTGACTGAATTTTGATACTAAAGAAAGAACCTCAGAATGTAGCAGCTGTGAGTGTTAGCCAAAAAAGGGAAAAGGTGACTTTTGATTCTTTAGAATTTGTCTTTTATCTATCTGTTGTCGATTTTATTAAGTAGATAATAATCTCCCAAACTATTGGATAGACTACTGTAAATTCTAGATGTACTGTAGAATTAGAGTATAGATGGTAAAACGTCCACCAACGGTGTCTATTCATCCCCGCAAAAATATGATGACATCGACTTAAACTTCTATCACGTAAATCTTACATAAAATATGAAGAATAATATGCGACGTATGGCTTATTAATTTAGACAGACTGGTACTTGAGACACTATTAATAAAACATAAAATTGTTAACTGCAATTTACACATAGCTGTAATATGAAATTTGCATAAGTAAACTAAACTGTTTTAAAATGTGTCTTGCGAAATCCTGTAGCAAAATCTTGTGACTCTTACGTATACAAGGTGTAAAAAAAAAACGCAAACGCAATGTTTCTATAATTTAATTTTTTTCTTCAATTTTTTTGCGGAGTTGTTAATAGAAATGCAATTCAAATTGAAAGAAAACGTCGTCTGTTCAATGGCTATCAACTCTGAAAATAAGTCTGCTGTAAGGTTATTTTAACAAAGAATCAATCCATGTATTTAATTTATTAATGGAATGTCTATTGTTTTATTATAGGGAACAATACTACCAGTAGCTAATTTAATTTAAATCATTGATAATTTTATAATCGCATCGTATGAAAATTTAATGAAATTCCATTCATAGTAAATGAGTTAATCTTATTGGAATTTATTACACTAAAATAGCAGTACAATTATTTGAATACCAAGATTTTAAGCAATCGAGTTAATTGCTTGTTGTCTTCTAATTCTTTTTAGTGTAGATTGGAAGACATAACTTTTAGAGTATTTGTTTGAATTGATATATTCTGTGGAAAAGATTTAGATTACGTAGTACGTCACGGACAATTACTTAGTTATCGAGTTCTATCTGTACATACAGAATATCAGTCCCCCCCTTTCCTTTGCTTTGCTTTGTAATTCAAGCGCCATTTATATTTCCACAGTGCCAATTCTAAACCTTATTCTAAAATATTACTTCCATCATCAACTTCGCCTTTAACGTTATTTACGAAATAAGACACCTGTTGCCCTCTCTGTTGCGGTTGTAAATTCAGCCAACAATACTAGCACGTAATTTCAAACCGCACCCTACACCCCACAATGCCATTATTGACACTTTAACTTACGAATATACCCGGCGTAGGTTGTTTAAATCTCCT